GCATCAGCGTGTAGTGTGGCGAATGTGCTTTAGTTGCGCGTGATGAGAAACGTTTATTGAAGCGTGTATTTAGATATATATGGGGTTCTGGTTGTGATTGGTTAGAGAGATGTGTATTTACCGACTAGTCGGGGTGGACTGGGGTTAATGAATCTGCACACGAGAATCTTAGGTATGTACGTTAAACAGTTATTTGTGCGAGGGTCGGAGGGTTGGTACAGGTTTGAATTGGATTCGAGGGGATTTGGTACGATGGATGAATGGTGGGGATGTTACGAGATGCGAGAACATGCTGAGGGTTTTAATTTATGCAAGGGATCCAAGTCAAATCAAGATTAGAAAACTGGCAAAGGTGGGAGAGGGAGGGGGTGGCTAGCATAGAGGGTATATATCCAATGTATGCATGGCGTGATATTTGGGGTCGCTTGGAGTTACGATTGGGGGCCGGGGTACGGGAGGTCATGTATAAATTCCTTCACAATATACTGCCTTCCAGGGAGGTTTTAGCAAATAGACGTGTGCAAGTGGGAAAGGAGCAGGGGGGTGGGGTGTGGTGGGGTGTGTGGTGGGGTGTGTTGACACTGCTTTCCACGCAGTGTATTTTTGCGAGATTGGAAGTGGTAAGAGTGTGGTTTAGCAGTTATACATATGGTGGGAGGTGGGGGAATTAGTCTTAAGAGCATTAAGTCTAGATGTGGGGGGGGGGGGGGGGAGGGTTGCCAGTACAAAGGGCAATTGGATATCTAGTCACTGACTTTGTATATACTCATGGGCCTGCACACACGTATCAGGATGAGAGGATTAGGGCACTGGCAGCGATTTTTTATGGTACACAGCAGAGGAAGAGAGATTGCTGGAGGTAGATGGCTTTAGACTTTTTCGGCGGGATATTGTAATTTCCATGTTCATGATTTATGGGCATTAGTACCGTAAAGTGTGGGCGAGGGTGACCGATTCAAAATGGTGAGGAATAATGATGAAACGTTGGGAAGGGGCGGTTATGTAAGGTCTAGAAGGTATAAACAAGAACGAACTGGGGCTTTGGAAAAAATTTTATGTTATATTGTATGCCAAGTGAATAGATCGCATAAACTGTACAATAACCTTTTATAATACACACCATTTGTGTAGCAGAATCAACATGCTATATTGAAATTGCAGTCAGTATGACAACTCAAGGTTAGATTTTGAAACTAGGGGTTTGAGCAATCCCTGCCATACATTGGCGACCCTAGTCTATTAGTTGTACACTGATGTACCCTAGGGTTGACATTTAAGATAACTGTATTGGTATTGTGATACAAATTGATAAATATCGAACACCGACGCATGAGAATCTCCAGCAATGTCCTGTTGTGTATCTAACAGGTGAACGTGACAGTCATACGTGTATATATCCTGTTAATGCTTGGCTTAGCTCAAGCATATTCAAAACAGTATGTACTTGATGTATGGTTCTTTAAAAGGTATCTGGAATCTACGGTTGTTTGACAAATAGGGACGTAGCAATAATGATTCGAGGCCCTGAAGAGCAGGTTAGAGTTAGCCTTCAAATGGCTTCTATAATCTGAGATATATGTATATAAACCTACTATCACAATATTTAATTAAGTGTAAATGGTAGATCAGGGTGTACATTTTGCTTGTTGGGTTTTAGCGGATTTCCCTTTAGTCGCAAGTACGTGGTGGGTATACAAGTTGGGTATGCATGTTAAATGTGTTCATCATACATTTCTTGAGGTTGTAATAGCACCGGATATTATGGCGTGATTATGGCAAAGAATGTTTTGCATTTTATTTCTACGTTAATGTTAATGCCAGATTTAGGCTTGTTATTAATTTCTCATGTCAAAGCATGGTACAATTTAATTTTCGCACACTTAATTTTGTGCTTCACATACGGAAATAAGGTTTAAATGTACTGTAACTAGATCACTTTGATACCTTACGATAGGATTTTGTTATTTGTATGGATTTTACTTTTATACATACTGTTAAATTTTATTTGCAGCTGTGTCCTGCTCAGTGTTTAGGTGGGGGGTTTCCATTGTGATATGGCCTAATGTAATGTTAATCATAGGCTTTGTTTTGCCTAACATTTAGATCAATGTTCTGTAGCCTTTTAAAATTTGTAGGTTGTGTGACATTTACAGTGCAACGTGTGCAAGGGGTCTTATTCAACAGAGCAGTGGGGGGTTGGTGTGAGCGCTGACATAAATCGTAAGCTTTGTTTGTTAATGGTTTTGTTTCGTGCTGGAGCTCTCGCTATTTTATTCTGTTAAGTGGTTCCAGCAACTTGCGGGACGTATTATGGTGGTATGTCTTGGCAATTTTATTGAACTCTTAGGTTTGCCTTTTGTTTCATTACTGTAATGTATAATGTTTTTATTTCTAATGTTTATCATATCTTCTGTGTGCTTTGTGCATGGGGGTTTTATTGTACAGTGTAACAGGAGTGTATTGTAGGTTTAAACTGTTAATGTATTTTCCGAGCAGGTGTTATGCTCTTTTCATTGTTAGGTGATGGTTTACCCTTTAATACAATATGATGGCGACACTTAGGATCTGATGGGGGTTGATGGTAGATCATTGTCTTCGCAAATGGCTAATTATTGTATTTTATTTTATTATATCTTTTATTGTGACTTTTTAAAATAAAAATATAAAAAAAAATTAATTCACAATATTCCTTATGGGAACAAGTTCGTTCAGTAATGGCACCTGAACATGCTTCTGGAATGAAATAATATCGTAAGCCGGGGGTCCACTGTATATGGTTTTATTGGCTTTTACTTGGTATCATTTAATTGAATGCAAGATATACACTACCACCAAATTGGAATTGTGCAAAACTGGCCAAATTACAAACTTAGTGCACTTTGCAAGGTCTGATAGGTGAATGGGCAGTCTCTTATGCTCAATATAATTTAATGAATACTAGCAAAATAGCAAATTGTCAAATTGAGCAATGCAATTGGTTTAATATACGACAGACAAAAATTGCCAATTCATAAATTGTGCCCAAGCTTCTAGCTTAGGCACAAAAGTTTCCAACAAATTTTATATTTTTGGTATCATTACTTTCATTAAAAAGGTTCTTAAACCTTTTTAAAAAATTTACAACCATTTTAATTTTAAGGGTCCTGACAGTGAAGGGATTCAATTAACAGATTCTTAAATTATGACTGATGGCTCGTTAACCCTTTCACTACCCAGCCCCAGCCACCCCCAAAAAAAAAATTAATACCGCTACCCCCTTTTAAAAGAAATTCTACAAGTTTGTGAAAGCAATGACACCAAAGTAACAAAATTTGACGAAATAATTACAGAATCACACAGATGCAAAGTTTGTAGTCTCAGCAAAATTTAAACATTGCCAATTTCACCCTAGTACAAATTTTAAGCAAATTCCATTGTTCCAAGAGACCAAATAAATAAATTCACAAGTATGCCTTTGTGCTATTGTTTGAGCACACAATACCACCCATTCGACTATTACACTGCTCTATAAAGTAGAGAAGTGTAATGTGGCCAATTTTACACAAATTTAAAAATGGTCCCCCTAAATAAAATAAGATTCCTGGTATTAAAATATTTCCTGTCGATTAATCACATCCCTAGGCAACTTTTATATTAAACTGCTGACCCTTTAACACAGGTTTGAATTGTACGGGTACAGTTATATGCAGATTATTCAACGAACTGCATACAGGCTAGTGGCTTTCTTCGAGCACGTTTATTACATTTCAACTACACTTTGTATATACTACACAAGGAAAGGTGTGTGTTTACAAAGACCCTGATCTGGTGGCAAAAGCTCTATTCACACGGCGAGGGTCCAGGTTCGATTCCCGGCGAAGAGGTGGAAATATTGGAAGTGTTTCCTTACACCGGTTGTACAAGTTCACCCATCAGTAAAATGGGTACCTGGGTATTAGTCAACTGGTGTGGGTTGCATCCTGGGACTGGCCTAATTAGCCCAAAATGCTCTGCATAAGCTTTCTATATAGCAGTAAGTCATTGATGTACAAGGTATACAGGCATAGCCGACATGTATGTACTTTTAGTAAATAAAGAATTCCACATGGCTGCCACTGAAAGGCTTGAAATGTGTACAAATGTGAAAAAAAAAAATTCTGGAGGGGGAGGGGTATAAAATCCAGTTACATTAAATTTTTCCCTGAAAAGCAATGCAAAAAGCACTCTTTAGTAATTAAAGAGGATTAATAGAACTTACCATTAAATGCGAGAGAAGACGGTAAAGAGACTCCATAAACCGTCACACTGACAGCAATTCAACCAAAATGTCAACCCATGCTTGCATGAAAAGGCATTTTAGTTAAAACTGCAGCTTGCCCCCTAAAAAAAAAAAAAAAAAATTCTTAAATATCCATATTTTGGCACCAGCTTGGGGAAAAGTTGGTACCAATTCAATAGGATAGGGGGGCACCATGTGAAGGTCTACTTCTCTGTCTCACCTGAGAGATGGTGTATTGTTTGCAATGATGACCAGTTTTGCTTTTCCTGCACGAAGACACTTCAGAGTCTGATGGTATCCTAGCACATATTTGCCAGATTTCATTACAAGAGCCAACCGAGAGTTAATACTCTCTATAGCCTTTTTCTGCAAGAAAAAATAATTAGACATTACATTTTCCATGTTGCATTTAGGTGCAGGGCATTTATACACATGCTTTGGTACAAGCAATCTTAATTACTGGATACCTAATTACTATAGGCTAAATTGTGTAGCCTCCCTCCCCCCCACTCTCCAACTTTTACCATCAGAAAAATTGAGCAATATCATGGCAAAGGGCCCATAAAATTCAACACTTAAAATTGAAGGTTTGCTATTCTGAATATACAACACAACTGAATTAAGCATTAAACCCAAAGAGTTACACAGCTGGTAGATTAAGTTGCAGAATTTTTTAGTGGGGAGGGGATTACATGTACAAGTAATTTGTAATTAATAGGCAAGAGCAAGGCCAGAAAAACTATTCAATGAAATATTGGATATTAAGACCCCAATGGAAATAAGTCACTGACTTTTTTCGGTTATCCTAGGTTATCTACACATATGCTATGTATGATAATTCTATAACTATTTGTGTATACCTGAATAAACTTAAACATTTTGGGTGGACTTTCCAGGGAATTGGTCTATGAAAAATTGGGAAAACCATAAATTACAGGAAGGGGGGCTAGTGGAAAAAAAAAAAATGGGACTACAATTATGATACAAGCACACCAATTAAGCATGGTTTTAAGTGGTGCAGCAAGGATAGAGAAATCAAAAGGAACAAATGCCAAGAGATTATTAAGTTGCAGGTGATTCATGGACCACCCCAAATGGTTTTTCCAGGCATATATTATGATTAGGGCCAAGTTATTCAGGCCAACTTATTGTCGGTGGCAAGGAAATTTACAATCAACACTTACTTCACCCAGATTCTTACAAAACACTAGCTAAATTCCAGAGTTATTAGTCAGGACAAATTAGTCTGGCAGTCACTAATTACATGGTCATCAGAAATAAGATTAATACCAAACAAAACCTCAGCCCCAGATGAACTGTTCTTAAGTGTTATAACACATTATCTTAGTCTTAGGAACATTATCACTACAAACTAGCATAGCCTGGAGTTAACCTGGAGAGAGTTCTGGGGCCTACGCCCCCACAGCCCGGTCTGTGACCAGGCCTCATGGTGGATCAGCGCCTGATCAACCAGGCGGTTACTGCTGGCCGCAAGCAATCCAACGTATACAAGCCACAGCCCGGCTGGTCAGGTACCAACTTTAGGTGCTTGTCCAGTGCCTGCTTGAAGACAGCCAGGGGTCTATTGGTAATCCCCCTTATGTATGCTGGAAGGCAGTTGAACAGTCTCGGGGCCCCTGACACTTACTGTATTGTCTTACGTGCTAGTGACTACCCTGCTTTTCATTAGGGGGATGTTGCATCGCCTGCCGAGTCTTTTGCTTTCGTCGAGTGATTTTCGTGTGCAAGTTCAGTACTAGTCCCTCTAGGATTTTCCAGGTGCATATAATCGGGCATCTCTCACCTGAATTCCAGGGAGTACAGGTTCAGGAACTTCAAGCGCTCCCAGTAATCGAGGCGTTTTATCTCAGTTATGCGCGCCATGAAGGTTCTCTGTACATTTTCTAAGTCAGCAATTTCACCTGCCTTGAAAGGTGCTGTTAGTGGGCAGCAATGTTCCAGCCTAGATAGAACAAGAGACCTGAAGTGTCATGGGCTTAGCATCCCTAGTTTTGAAGGCTCTCATTATACATCCACTAATTTTTCTAACAGATGCGATTGATACAATGTTATGGTCCTTGAAGGCGAGATCCTCCAACATGATCACTCCCAGGTCACTGACGTTGGTTTTTCACTACATATTTTGTGGCCAGAATTTGTTTTGTACCGATTTAATTTCCTCATGTTTACCACATTGAGTAATTTAAATTTCTCATCATTGAACTTCATATTGTTTTCTGCAGCCCACTGAAAGATTTGGTTGATGTCTGCCTGGAGCCTTGCAGTGTCTGCAATGGAAGACACTTGCCAATTCAGGTGTCATCTGCAAAGGTAGACAGTGCTGTTTCTGACATCCTTGTCTGTCAGATATGAGGATGAGAAACAAGATGGGAGCTAGTACTGTGCCTTGTGGAACAGCTTTTTCACCATAGCCACTTCAGACTTGCTCTGTTGACTACTACACTGTTCTGTTTGTGAGGAAATTATAGATCCACCTGCCAACTTTTCCTGTTATTCCTTTAGCATGCATTTTGTGCACTATTATGCCATGGTCACAAAGGCTTTTGCAAAGCCTGTATATATTACATCTGCATTCTTTTTGTCTTCTAATGCATCTAGGACCTTGTCAGTGATCCAGTAGTTGGGACAGACAGGAGTGACCTGCTCTAAACCCATGTTGCCCTGGGTTGTGTAATTGATGGGTATCTAGATGGGTGGCAATCTTGCTTTTTAGGACCCTTTCAAAGATTTTTATATGGGATGTTAGTGTTATTGATCTGTAGTTCTTTGCTATTGCTTTGTTGCCCCCTTTGTGGAGTGGGGCTATGTCTGTTGCAAGATAACTTGCAAAATGACAAATGTGATGTATAAAAGGCAGGAGACATGTCATTAACTTTGAAATACAGACTGGTTAGCCTAATCTTTGTGGGAAAATTCATGGAATCCATTGCCAAAGCTATTCAAAGTCACTTAATAGATCAACGAGTACTGTTTTACAGAGGCATTCCTACCTCAACTTTTTTCCGAGGTAGTGCAAGGTAAAGAAAAAAATACACTACAGACTTCAGTAAGGCCTTCAAGAGGGATATATCCTAGTAAAGTTGTGGTACACTGAATAAGAAAAATTCCTGGATAGAGGCATGGTTGACCATCTGCAAAAAAAAATAGGGAGATATTAAAGTGGGGGAAGTGTTACAAGAATATTCCATACTGGTCCAAGTACACTGGTGTAGGCATAAGAAAGTGGTGAACCTGACAAACAGGCCACTATTAATTCTGAAGAAACTAGAGTGCTACAGATCTGGATAGGTTGATTCAATGGTCAGTAGTAGAAATAATAACCAAGACTGAGTATACTACAAACTCCAATCACATAATAGAGCAAAAAAGTTATGCGAAGGACCCGGGTGTGGTAATGTCTAAAGACCACGCCTTCAAGGACCACAAAAATGCCACTATCACATCTGCTAGGAAACATAGGATGGATGAGAACATTCAAGGCAAGAGATGCTAAGCCAATGATTATCCTTTTTAAATCACTTATTCTCTCTCTAGGCTGGAATATTGCTGTACATTAACATCCCCATTCAAGGCAGGCAAAACTGCAGAACTAGAGAACGTACAGAGAACCTTTACTGCATGTACAAGTTCCATCAAACCCCTTAACTACTGGGAGCGCCTGGAAGCACTTTAATTTTATTCACTAAAGCGCAGGTAAGAGATTTATCAATCTACACCTGGAAGATTCTGGAGGGACTGGTCACTAATATGCACACAGCAATCACTCCATACAAAAGCAAGAGACTTTAGGGCGATGCAACATACCCCCAGTGAAAAGTAGGGGAGTCACTGGTACACTATGAAAACGCAAAAAGTGTCCGGGGCCCAAGACTGTTCAACAGCCTCCCACCAGCAATAAGGGGCATTACAGGAAGACCCCTGTTGTCTTCAAGAGAGCCAGACAGATACCTAAAGACGGTGCCGGATCAGCCGGGCTGTGGTTTGTACGTTGGATTGCGTGTAGCCAGCAGTAACAGCCTCGTTGATCAGGCCCTGATCCACCGGGAGGCCTGGTCATGGAATGACCTCCAGGTTGGAAAGTTAATAACCATGGCAATTATAAACTATAGAGTTGATCTTAATCATTGAATGCAAAAAAAGCGTAAATGCATGCATGTTCACAAACCTAATACTAAAGTCCTCTGGTTACCTAAAGTAGGAAAGTAATCAGTAGGGCCTCATTTAGAATATGCTGTGCAGTTCTGGTCACCGCACTACAGAAATGACAAATACACTAGATCCAAGGCTTCAAAAATCTTACCAAAGAGAAATGACAGGGCACTGAAACCATGCTAGAAAAGCATAAATTTGGACGGGATATAATCGAGGTGTATAAATGATACAGCTTCCTCGGTAATGGGTTCAGCTGGAAAAATAAAATGCATTTAGGAAAGCACCGGTTTGGTTAGTTTAGTGGAACAGATTCCCAGTAGTCACTGAAGCGAAAACCTCTGGTAACTTTAATAACCAGGTTAGACATGTGGGACAGACTGAGGGCTCCTGAATCTGTACTCTAGAAAGGTGTAGATTTAGGGGAGATATGACGGAGGTGTACAGATGGAAAAATAGAAATAAAAGGGGATGTTAATAGTATTAAAAATATCTAGCTAAGACAGGACTCCCAGGAATGGTTTTAAGTTGGAAAAATTCAGATTGAAGGATATAGGAAAGCACTGGTTTGGTAATAGTTGTGCAGTGGAACAAACTCCCAAGTACCGTTATAAAACCTAAGACTTATAGTTTTAAGATAAATAAAAGTGAGTGTGGGTGGGTGGGCGAGTGGGACCTGACTATCTTGTGCCACTAGGTCTGTTACCGAGCTCCTTAAGCGAATGTAACGACCTGACTAGGTTGGGCCATTGGCTTAAGCCGGTAGGAGACTTGGACCTACATCTCACGAGCCAGTAGGCCTACTGCAGTGCTTCTTTGTTAAATACACATTCATCGACTGAAGGTACCTCCCTCGAGGGGCCGGAGATCAAGCAACATCTCCACAACTAGAAAACATGAATAATCAACAAAATAACGTGCAAAAAGACCCAGGCGATACTTACAGACTTCTTTGTAGGCGCCATTGTTGCTACTGATGCACTCCAGGCAAGCTGAGGAAAAAAATTATTTATTAAAGTTATTTAAGCAGCAGGTTGATAATTCAAGTCAAGAATTATCGCCCCCCGCGAGGCATTAGTCACCATAAACCCGTAGGGGGTAACCTAGCACCTGGAGGATGGAAGACGCTAAGGTTCAAAATAAGTTCAATTCCTTGGACCACGAGTCCTCTCACTGGCATAAAGCCACGTCACTCACATGATAAATTACCGCTATTAACACGTAAAACACACCTTAGCAAACTACCCACTAAGAAAAGATGTACTTCTACAAACAACTTCCCACATAAAGCCATAAAATAAAAAGAATAATGCCATTATAATCAGGAGAGAGAAAAGACTCACCTCGACAGGACGACGGCAGCAGAGAGAAGGAAGCAGCATGGCTTCCCTTCCCATCTCATCAGTATCTGGAAAATATATCACGACAATATTAACCAGCCCGTGGCTTTACAGATATTAATTTTATTTTTTTTATATTATATGTAAGTTTAAAAATATATATTTTGTAATTTATTTTTAATGTGAAGGAAATTATTCACCAGAGCAATGGAATATTTTTTTTTTAATTATTAAACTTAAACATATTTCAATTACGGACTCTTATAAAACTCCTCTATATAATATGATTTATATATTTATATTACAATTGAAAATTGCATTTAAAAACAGTAATTGAACAGGGAAACATGCACCAACAGGGAATACAGTCACAGAAACCCAAGGCAAACGGAAACCAAGCCTGTGCACATACTATGCACTCGGTATCTGCTGGCATGGGAAATCTGGAAAAACAGATGGGACGTGCAACTAAGACCACCCTAGGAAATGCCATGCCCATATGACAACAGGAAAATGCAAACTCCCTTCCTGTAAGCTTTTTCACCCTGAACTGTGTACCTCTTCAGTACAGGAAAGACTGTGCTATAACTTAAATTGCCAGGCATACCATCTAAAGGGGACAAAAAGATACAAAACATCCAGGCCATGGGAAAACCTGGGTAGCCACAGCCACTCAAGAGGGAGAGGTTTTTTAGTGCCAGGAAGGAAAAAAAACTGGCAGGAAATGGCAGAAATCGTACACCAAATCCAGTCATTCCTGGAGTGGAACCACAGTCGATGGCCTCCACTCCAAACCAACAGATACAGATACTAATGCCGGAAAAAAAATCCCCCCCCAGTACCAACAATACCACCAGTCCGATAACATTCTTCTTTGCAAATATACAGGGTCTAAAGCCAGCAACAAACAACAAAATACCTTTCATCCGTGGACTGCTTGCAGAGGCAAAGGCAATGTTCGCGGCTTTCACTGAGACCCACATAAAGGATCACTTGGACAACGAAATATGGATCCCAGGTTACAACCTATACAGATGTGACAGAGTGAACAGGCAAAAGGGGGGGGTTGGCCTGTACATTGCAGAGTCACTTGTTTGCCATACCCCCGGCCGGGATTGAACCCGCGGTCATAGAGTCTCAAAACTCCAGCCCGTCGCGCTAACCACTAGACCAGCTAGCCACAATAAGATTCATCCAACTAGGTATATTTCTACACCATAGGAAAGTTAGCACAGGCACCTCTGTGACCACAAATGCAAGTTTTTACAGACGAATCTCCAGCTAGCGTGGCCGTGACGAACTCTAGCTCAAGTCCCTTCACTGCCGTCAACATGACTTAAGAAATCGTAATGACACGATTGCAAATAAACCATACCCCCGGCCGGGATTGAACCCGCGGTCATAGAGTCTCAAAACTCCAGCCCGTCGCGCTAACCACTAGACCAGCTAGCCACAATAAGATTCATCCAACTAGGTATATTTCTACACCATAGGAAAGTTAGCACAGGCACCTCTGTGACCACAAATGCAAGTTTTTACAGACGAATCTCCAGCTAGCGTGGCCGTGACGAACTCTAGCTCAAGTCCCTTCACTGCCGTCAACATGACTTAAGAAATCGTAATGACACGATTGCAAATAAACCATACCCCCGGCCGGGATTGAACCCGCGGTCATAGAGTCTCAAAACTCCAGCCCGTCGCGCTAACCACTAGACCAGCTAGCCACAATAAGATTCATCCAACTAGGTATATTTCTACACCATAGGAAAGTTAGCACAGGCACCTCTGTGACCACAAATGCAAGTTTTTACAGACGAATCTCCAGCTAGCGTGGCCGTGACGAACTCTAGCTCAAGTCCCTTCACTGCCGTCAACATGACTTAAGAAATCGTAATGACACGATTGCAAATAAACCATACCCCCGGCCGGATTGAACCCGCGGTCATAGAGTCTCAAAACTCCAGCCCGTCGCGCTAACCACTAGACCAGCTAGCCACAATAAGATTCATCCAACTAGGTATATTTCTACACCATAGGAAAGTTAGCACAGGCACCTCTGTGACCACAAATGCAAGTTTTTACAGACGAATCTCCAGCTAGCGTGGCCGTGACGAACTCTAGCTCAAGTCCCTTCACTGCCGTCAACATGACTTAAGAAATCGTAATGACACGATTGCAAATAAACCATACCCCCGGCCGGGATTGAACCCGCGTTGGATGAATCTTATTGTGGCTAGCTGGTCTAGTGGTTAGCGCGACGGGCTGGAGTTTTGAGACTCTATGACCGCGGGTTCAATCCCGGCCGGGGGTATGGTTTATTTGCAATCGTGTCATTACGATTTCTTAAGTCATGTTGACGGCAGTGAAGGGACTTGAGCTAGAGTTCGTCACGGCCACGCTAGCTGGAGATTCGTCTGTAAAAACTTGCATTTGTGGTCACAGAGGTGCCTGTGCTAACTTTCCTATGGTGTAGAAATATACCTAGTTGGATGAATCTTATTGTGGCTAGCTGGTCTAGTGGTTAGCGCGACGGGCTGGAGTTTTGAGACTCTATGACCGCGGGTTCAATCCCGGCCGGGGGTATGGTTTATTTGCAATCGTGTCATTACGATTTCTTAAGTCACTTGTTTGCACAGAACTGCTAAATGCCTCAAATGATGTAGTGGAAGTTTTAGCAGTAAAGGTCGAGAACCAAAACCTAGTCATTGTGGTAGTCTACAAGCCTCCGGATGCAACATCCCAGCAATTCCAGGAACAGCTGTTAAAAATTGACCACTGTCTGGAAAACCTTCCAGCTCCTGCACCCAACATCTTGCTCCTGGGGGATTTCAACTTAAGGCACCTAAAATGGAGGAATATAGCAAATAATATTGTTGCAGTAATAACACCAGGAGGCAGCTCTGATGAAAACTCACACTCACACGAGCTTTTAAATCTCTGCACAAAATTCAATTTAAACCAGCAAATAATAGAGCCTACTAGACTGGAGAATACACTAGACCTCATCTTCACTAACAATGATGATCTGATAAGAAATATCACCATATCAAAAACAATATACTCAGATCACAACATAATTGAGGTTCAGACATGTATGCGCGGAGCCCCAGACAAACATAATGAGATTAGTCACGAGGGAGCATTCACCAAATTCAACTTCAATAACAAAAACATAAAGTGGGACCAAGTAAACCAAGTCCTAACCGATATAAGCTGGGAAGATATACTAAGCAACACAGACCCCAACTTATGCCTAGAACAGATTAACTCGGTAGCACTCGATGTATGCACAAGGCTTATTCCTCTAAGAAAAAGGAGGAGTAGATGTAAAACTGAAAGAGACAGGCGCTCCCTTTACAGGCGACGGAAAAGAATAACAGAGCGGCTAAAAGAGAACCATACCCCCGGCCGGGATTGAACCCGCGGTCATAGAGTCTCAAAACTCCAGCCCGTCGCGCTAACCACTAGACCAGCTAGCCACAATAAGATTCATCCAACTAGGTATATTTCTACACCATAGGAAGGTTAGCACAGGCACCTCTGTGACCACAAATGCAAGTTTTTACAGACGAATCTCCAGCTAGCGTGGCCGTGACGAACTCTAGCTCAAGTCCCTTCACTGCCGTCAACATGACTTAAGAAATCGTAATGACACGATTGCAAATAAACCATACCCCCGGCCGGGATTGAACCCGCGGTCATAGAGTCTCAAAACTCCAGCCCGTCGCGCTAACCACTAGACCAGCTAGCCACAATAAGATTCATCCAACTAGGTATATTTCTACACCATAGGAAGGTTAGCACAGGGACCTCTGTGACCACAAATGCAAGTTTTTACAGACGAATCTCCAGCTAGCGTGCCGTGACGAACTCTAGCTCAAGTCCCTTCACTGCCGTCAACATGACTTAAGAAATCGTAATGACACGATTGCAAATAAACCATACCCCCGGCCGGATTGAACCCGCGGTCATAGAGTCTCAAAACTCCAGCCCGTCGCGCAAAACCACTAAAACCAGCTAGCCACAATAAGATTCATCCAACTAGGTATATTTCTACACCATAGGAAGGTTAGCACAGGCACCTCTGTGACCACAAATGGTTAGCGCGACGGGCTGGAGTTTTGAGACTCTATGACCGCGGGTTCAATCCCGGCCGGGGGTATGGTTTATTTGCAATCGTGTCATTACGATTTCTTAAGTCATGTTGACGGCAGTGAGGGACTTGAGCTAGAGTTCGTCACGGCCACGCTAGCTGGAGATTCGTCTGTAAAAACTTGCATTTGTGGTCACAGAGGTGCCTGTGCTAACCTTCCTATGGTGTAGAAATATACCTAGTTGGATGAATCTTATTGTGGCTAGCTGGTCTAGTGGTTAGCGCGACGGGCTGGAGTTTTGAGACTCTATGACCGCGGGTTCAATCCCGGCCGGGGGTATGGTTTATTTGCAATCGTGTCATTACGATTTCTTAAGTCATGTTGACGGCAGTGAAGGGACTTGAGCTAGAGTTCGTCACGGCCACGCTAGCTGGAGATTCGTCTGTAAAAACTTGCATTTGTGGTCACAGAGGTGCCTGTGCTAACCTTCCTATGGTGTAGAAATATACCTAGTTGGATGAATCTTATTGTGGCTAGCTGGTCTAGTGGTTAGCGCGACGGCTGGAGTTTTGAGACTCTATGACCGCGGGTTCAATCCCGGCCGGGGGTATGGTTTATTTGCAATCGTGTCATTACGATTTCTTAAGTCCGGCTAAAAGAGGTCAATATATCTGAAATGCGTAGGGAGACACTGGTCAGAGAAATAGCAAGCATCGAACTTAAGCTAAAAGAATCCTTTAGGAGTCAGGAATCGCGGGGAAAAACTAAAAGCCATAAATGAAATCGAAAGAAACCCAAAGTATTTCTTCTCCTATGCCAAATCAAAATCGAGAACAACGTCCAGTATTGGGCCCCTACTTAAACAAGATGGGTCCTACACAGATGACAACAAGGAAATGAGTGAGCTACTCAAGTCCCAATATGACTCAGTTTTTAGCAAGCCGCTAACCAGACTGAGAGTCGAAGATCAAAATGAATTTTTTATGAGAGAGCCACAAAATTTGATTAACACAAGCCTACCGATGTTATCCGACCCAAATGACTTCGAACAGGCGATAAATACATGCCCAGCACTCCCCCCAGGGCCAGACTCATGGAACCTGTTTTTCATCAAGAACGAAAGAACCCCTACACGAGTTTTTTCCACCAGGGAGGGGGACATGGACACGGGGGGTCGTCCCACAGTTACAAAAACAACAACATACCCCACTCCACAAAGGGGCAGAAAGCAACAGCAAGAACACAGACCAAAGCACTAACTCCCTTTCATAAAAATCTTTGAAAGGGTCCAAAGAAGCAAGATCACCACGCATCTAGAAACCCATCAGTTACACAACCCAGGGCAACATGGTTTAGAACAGGTCGCTCCTGTCTGTCTCAACTATTGGACCACTACGACAAGGTCCTAAATGCACTAGAAGACAAAAAGAATGCAGATGTAATATATACAGACTTTGCAAAAGCCTTCGACAAGTGTGACCATGGCGTAATAGCGCACAAAATGCGTGCTAAAGGAATAACAGGAAAGTCGGTCGATGGATCTATAATTTCCTCACTAACAGAACACAGAGAGTAGTCGTCAACAGAGTAAAGTCCGAGGCAGCTACGGTGAAAAGCTCTGTTCCACAAGGCACAGTACTCGCTCCCATCTTGTTCCTCATCCTTATATCCGACATAGACAAGGATGTCAGCCACAGCACCGTGTCTTCCTTTGCAGATGACACCCGAATCTGCATGACAGTGTCTTCCATTGCAGACACTGCAAAGCTCCAGGCAGACATCAACCAAATCTTTCAGTGGGCTGCAGAAAACAATATGAAGTTCAACGATGAGAAATTTCAATTACTCAGATATGGTAAACATGAGGAAATTAAATCTTCATCAGAGTACAAAACAAATTCTGGCCACAAAATAGAGCGAAACACCAACGTCAAAGACCTGGGAGTGATCATGTCGGAGGATCTCACCTTCAAGGACCATAACATTGTATCAATCGCATCTGCTAGAAAAATGACAGGATGGATAATGAGAACCTTCAAAACTAGGGAGGCCAAGCCCATGATGACACTCTTCAGGTCACTTGTTCTATCTAGGCTGGAATATTGCTGCACACTAACAGCACCTTTCAAGGCAGGTGAAATTGCCGACCATAGAAAATGTACAGAGAACTTTCACGGCGCGCATAACGGAGATAAAACACCTCAATTATTGGGAGCGCTTGAGGTTCCTAAACCTGTATTCCCTGGAACGCAGGAGGAGTAGATACATGATTATATACACCTGGAAAATCCTAGAGGGACTAGTACCGAACTTGCACACGAAAATCACCACACTACGAAAGCAAAAGACTGGCAGACGATGCACCATCCCCCAATGAAAAGCAGGGGTGTCACTAGCACGTTAAGAGACCATACAATAAGTGTCAGGGGCCCGAGACTGTTCAACTGCCTCCCAGCACACATAAGGGGGATTACCAACAGACCCCTGGCAGTCTTCAAGCTGGCACTGGACAAGCACCTAAAGTCAGTTCCGGATCAGCCGGGCTGTGGCTCGTATGTTGGTTTGCGTGCAGCCAGCAGCAACAGCCTGGTTGATCAGGCTCTGATCCACCAGGAGGCCTGGTCTCAGACCGGGCCGCGGGGGCGTTGACCCCCGGAACTCTCTCCAGGTAAACTCCAGGTATGCTACTCAATTTTACATGCATTTTGTCGATTACATTTACAAAAAAAAAATCGTAAATTTATTCAGGTATACACAAATACAGTTACATAGATCATCATACATAGCAGCATATGTGTAGAGAACCTGGGATAACCCAAAAAAGTCAAAGTGACTTATTTCCATTGGGGTCCTTTTTTTCCATTATGCATACTAAAACGCGCCGTGATATGCAAACCACTACATCATATAAGAACATAAGAACATAAGAATGAAGGAACACTGCAGAAGGCCTACTGGCCCATGCGAGGCAGGTCCAAGTCTCCTACCGGCTTAAGCCAATGCACCCAACCTAGTCAGGTCAGGTCACATTGACTTAAGGGAGGAACACGGCAACCGACCTGGTAGCACAAGCTATCAGGTCTAACTCACACCCACCCACATCCACTCATGTATTTATCCAACCTATTTTTAAAGCTACACAACGTTCTGGCCTCTATAACGGTACTTGGGAGTTTGTTCCACTCATCCACAACTCTATTACCAAACCAGTACTTTCCTATATCCTTCCTGAATCTGAATTTTTCCAACTTAAAACCATTGCTGCGAGTCCTGTCTAGGCTAGATATTTTCAGCACACTATTTACATCCCCTTTATTTATTCCTGTCTTCCATTTATACACCTCAATCATATCCCCCCTAATTCTACGTCTTTCTAGAGAGTGCAGATTCAGGGCCCTTAGTCTATCCTCATAGGAAGGTTTCTGATACATGGGATCAACTTTGTCATCCTCCTTTGTACATTTTCCAGAGAATTTATATCCATTCTGTAATACGGTGACCAAAACTGTGCAGCATAATCTAAATGAGGCCTAACCAAGGATGTATAGAGTTGAAGAACAACCTGAGGACTCCTATTATTTATGCTTCTTGATATGAAGCCAAGGATTCTATTAGCTTTATTGCGAACACTTATGCACTGTTGTCTTGGTTTCAGATTACTGCTAACCAGAACTCCTAAATCTTTTTCGCAATCCGTAATATTAAGATCTACATTATTTAGTTTATATGTGGCATGGTTATTGTCCTGTCCAACATTTAGAACTTTGCAGACAGTCTGTGATAATCTTGGACTTACAACTTCTGCAAAGACCAAAATGTTTATTGGTATCGTAAAACTGGACCGTTAAAACTGAATGGCAAGCCTATTTATTATGTGGCCTCCAGTAAATATCTATATATTGCTGCTCCATGTACACCAATAGCTGTGAATAAAATTAACCAACAGTATAAGAATTGAGTTAAAGCTCTCAAATGTTTGAATTGCAAAAAATTATGCACTTAGCGTACATGAGATCGCTGATAGATTACCATCCACCAGTTTTATTCCTTCAAAATAAAGCCCTGAAAATGATTCTGGGTTGTTATATAACTACCAAAATACTTAACTTGGGATGCCAAGGCTTGCCTGACTTTTTTGGGGCTATCCTAGATTTTCTACACATATGCTGCTATGTATGATAATCTATGTAACTGTATTTGTGTATACCTGAATAAACTTAAGATTCTCTTCAAATCACCAGTTATCTCTAGGTTGGAGTGCGGTTATACAGTAAGGGCCCCTTGCAAGGCGGGCGAAATTGCAGACCTGGAAAAAATAGAGAACTTTCACTGCACGTATTAGTAAAATAAAGCACTGTGAACGGTTGAAGTCCCTTGACCTGTGCACCATGGAACGCAGGCGAGAAAGATACATAAAATACACTTTGAAAGTCGGGAACTACTCCCTACGTAAGCACAAGACTCGGTAGGCGATGCAACATTTCCATAATGAAAAGCAGGAGTGCCATGAGTACACTAAGAGACAACACAATAAGTGTCAGGGGCCCAACACTGTTCAACTTCCTGGGGATTGCCAATAGACTCCTGGCTGTCTTCAAAAGAGAGATGGACAGGCAGTCAGTATCTGACCAGCCGTTTAATGGATCAGGCCCTGATCAACCACGAGACCTGGTCACGGACCGGGCCGCGGGGGGCGTTGACCCCCAGAACATCTTCAGGTACCAGGTGTTGCTGTCACATTACTTAAAATCAGTGTCATGATAGGACTGAAGCTGCTGCCTGGCTGTCAAAATAACGTTGTCTAAAGAATTGTTAGAACATAATTCATGGGACAAATGAATGGAGATAGATTTAAATAACAGCCACACACATAATGTTTGAACCAAATGAATTGATTACTTAGGATAACACAAAAAAAGTCAGACAACGTGACTTATTTCCAATGGAGTCATTGCATTTCCATCTGGGTCCTTTTTATTGCAAACCAGCCGAATAAATAATTGAGCTTCCACCTTATAAGCTGAGTTATTTGTCACAATTGTTGCTGTCATGCTTGTGGAAACTACGACTACACACAGTTTAATTGTAACTGATTTTCTTTCTTTATTATTTGTTCTAGATAACCTGACTGTATCATTCTTGTGTATGAAGCTAGGCATATATACACCAATTATTAAGAAAGGTTACAGTTCAGTGTTTGTAGATTCTCTCTCACATAGGCCTTCAGGGGCCTTCAGGGGCACGACAAAGTTGATATTATATACTATTTTTGGTACTGATGTTATGATAGATGAATGAGATGTTTTTGATTAGGCTGCAATCTAATAATGACTGTTTAAGGTGTAATGATATACTTAATTTCTTTTTTTTTAAATTGTAACCCCATATTGTAATGTCTTCATTAGCTATATGAAGATTTTGTAATATGTGTGTTGGGTGTAATATATTTTTTTTCGAAATGTAGCTATCCTATTCCTGGTGGGATGTGATGAATTTATTATTATAATAAAAAAGAAGCGCTAAACCACAAGGGCTATACAGCGCTGTGGAGTGTGATGAAGACCCATTATGACCCCTGTATTTTTTTTTTTGTATATAGATTGCACAGCTAAAAACTATCTCTTTCCAGAGGAAACAATATTTTCTTTCTCATTCCCGTCCAGATTTGGGCAATATATATTTTTTCGGATTCCGGGAGGTAAGGCTCAATAAAGCGTCAGCTTTGGTGTCCCTGAATAACCCCCAACACAACAATTACTACTGACATGGTCTAATAACATCCAAAAAATTAATTATCGAGCCAAGTACAAGCAACATAAGTGTCAAGAGAGTCACTGAACCAAGATAACATCACATCACTACTTCTGCAGTCATCGAAAGAGGAAACAGTTAAGTACTTTGACATTTTTTTGCTTATCCTAGGTATTTTACACTAATAATACCCCTCAGGGAAGGTTCCTTGATGTTGGTGAGGGGCTCTTGATTTAGGAAATTGGATCTGTGCTCCAGTTCCCCGAATTAAGTCTGAATGCCCTCCACATCCCCCCCCAGGCGCTGTATAATCCTATGGGTTTAGCGCTTCCCCTTAATAATAATAATAATACACATAATAATAATAATAATATAATATCTATTTATATTTCTATAAGTACATGTACAAAGTATACAGGCCTACCTGACATCAATGACATACTACTATTTATTTATTTATTTATTTATTTTATGTCTTTGCAAACTACATTGAGATTTTATATTTACACTAGTGGGTTGCAATGCAAAGAGAACCTCTATTATGCCTAGGCATTATGAGCTAACTTAACATTATTGGCTTACAGTCTACTTAACACTGAGGATTATATCATAGTTGTACAGTAGAATATTAATTATGAATGAATCAAAATTTGTATAATACAAAGATATATTTATATTCAAAAGTACTTTTTTGTGAAAACAATGATTCAATTATGTTCCTGTTAACAGTGGATAAAAGGTTCAAAGTGATTGTTTCAGTTATGATGTGGGAGTACATAGGTGAGTATGTGTGTAATGAGTATTTAGCATTTAGTCTAAGGTGATTAAGTAGCTGCTTGTTATGCAGCCACTTAAGGTAAATTAGGTAAATTTTGTCCCAGGATGTGACCCACACCAGTCCACTAACACTCAGGTACCTATTTTATTGATAGGTGAACATTCACAGTAGGTGTCTTGAGGAAACAAGTCCTAATGTTTCCACCCTTACCGGGGATCGACCCCGGACCTCAATGTGTGAGCTGAGTGAGTGTATGACTGTGCCTGTGTGCCTAAATAAACTTAGTAATTCTGAAGATCTATAGTATTGTTGAGATTCATTTCAGGCAAAATCAAGCTGCAGTTTGTTGTACTGTATATACCTCTGCAGTGTATGACCCATGTGGGTTTAGCACTTAGTTATGAATTTTTTTTTTCAATGAATCTGTCATATCCCACCGAGGCAGGGTGACCTAAAAAGAAAAACGAAACTTTTCATTTTTAAATTTAGTAATTTATACAGGAGAAGGGGTTGCCATTGCTCCCTTAGTTATGATTATAATAATAATATTAATGTACTGTACATAAAGATGTCATTTATACGTACTATACGTACCTATATAGGATGCAAACGAAAAAAAAACTGACCACTTGTTTATTTCTTATATATTATTTAAATTATTCCTGTACTGCATCCCTAACAAACAAAACTGGAAGATATATATCATCCAAAAAAAAGGTGCTTGTGGCTCAGTTGGTAGCAGTTTCAGCTCACACTGAGGGACTGGGATTAGAACATAAGTTTATTCAGGTTCAGGCACACCTCAATACAGTTACATAAATTTAGGTGACTATAATTATCATACATAATAACTTGTATAAATTACCTAGGATAACCCCAAAAAGTCATGCAAAGTGACATTTCCATTGGAGTCCTTGTAATATTGGGCATGTTGCCTTACATCCTCTGCCCGTGTTCACCTAGCAGTAACCCATGACAGCTGTCCCTAGCTCATTTAGGACGTAAACAATTAATTCTGCATAATTCGAGTCTTCATTACATTTAGTGAACTGCAATGATCACGTGCATGATGTTGGATAATAGTGAATTTAGATTAAATGAATCCTCATGAAGCAAGAGAAACCTATATTTAATTATGGTACTTAACCTCGAAGGAAAAAAGTCATATTATAACTTTTTTGGTTTATTCATATCTAGATCTACATAATTTATCATTGATGTATGTCTGTAATAATTACAGTATGTGTTTATTACAACTCTTGTGTAAATTTATGATAATAAATGATGGTGAATTTTTTTTTTCCCATCCTGCCTTGGTGGGAGATCGCTGGTGTGTCATGGTAAAATTGTTCCCTTACATAATATTTTGTTTTAAAGATTCATTTGTTTTTCATTATATCTTCCTGTAAAATATTTTTCTTCTACAGTATATTTATATTTCAGATTTAATTTTGTAAATGGAACGACCTCGAAGAAATACTCGCCTTCCAAGAGCTCTGACTGACTATCTTACTGCAAGTGAAGCAGAACGGAAATCTATGTCTGTAGAGGAAAAGGACCTTAGTGAAGATCATAAAGAGGAAGGAGCAGTTATAGATGATGTAATTCAAACAAATTCAGACAAACTTATCATGTCACAGCCATACAAGTGTGGGGAATGTAAATCCCGTTATAGAAGTAAAGTGGCACTTCTTCGTCATGCAGTTAAGCACAGTGGTAAGAATGAATCAGCTAAGTTTTAACTGTAAAAATAAATAAATAAATATGGGGACATTTACAGTTTTCAACTGTAGTATCAGTGCCCCTCTGACAATATGGGGATCTAGTGAGTGATGGTGAAAGTATTTCTTCTTTCCAAAGTGCTTGGAAATTTACTGTTTTTTCGCAGTGATTGTTTTGCATGCATATATATGTATTATATTCTACACATATGTATGCATACGTTGAATGATGATGAAAGTATTTTTCTTTCTTTTTGGGTCACCCTGCCTCGGTGGGAAACGGCCAATGTGTTAAAAAAAAAAGTGTGTATATATATATATATATATATATATATATATATATATATATATATATATATGCACATTTTTTTTTTAACACATGGCCGTTTCCCACCGAGGCAGGGTGACCCAAAAAAGAAAGAAAATCCCCAAAAAGAAAATACTTTCATCATCATTCAACACTTTCACCACACTCATACATTATCACTGTTTTTGCAGAGGTGCTCAGAATACAACAGTTTAGAAGCATATACGTATAAAGATACACAACATATCCCTCCAAACTGCTAATATCCCAATATATATATGTGTGTACTCACCTATTTGTGGTTGCAGGGGTCGAGTCTTAGCTCCTGGCCCCGCCTCTTCACTGGTTGCTACTGGGCCCTCTCTCTCCCCGCTCCATGAGCTTTATCAAACCTCGTCTTAAAACTGTGTATGGTTCCTGCCTCCACTATGTCATTTTCTAGGCTATTCCACTGCCTTACAACTCTATGACTGAAGAAATACTTCCTACTGTCTCTCTGACTCATTTGTGTCTTCAACTTCCAATTGTGGCCTCTTGTTTCTGTGTCCCCTCCCTGGAACATCCTGTCTTTGTCCACCTTGTCTATTCCACGCAGTATTTTATATGTTGTTATCATGTCTCCCCTGACCCTCCTGTCCTCCAGTGTCGTCAGGCCGATTTCCCTTAATCTTTCTTCATAGGACATTCCCTTAGCTCTGGAACTAACCTTGTCGCAAACCTTTGTACTTTCTCTAGTTTCTTGACGTGCTTTATCAAGTGCGGGTTCCAAACAGGTGCTGCATACTCCAGTATGGGCCTGACATACACGGTGTACAGTGTCTTGAATGATTCCTTACTAAGGTATCGGAATGCTGTTCTCAGGTTTGCCAGGCGCCCATATGCTGTAGCAGTTATCTGATTGATGTGTGCTTCCGAAGACATGCTCGGTGTTATACTCACCCCAAGATCTTTCTCCTTGAGTGAGGTTTGCAGTCTTTGGCCACCTAGCCTATATTCTGTCTGTGGTCTTCTGTGCCCTTCCCCTATCTTCATGACTTTGCATTTGGCAGGATTAAATTCGAGAAGCCATTTGCTGGACCAGGTGTCCAGTCTGTCCAGGTCTCTTTGAAGTCCTGCCTGGTCCTCATCAGATTTAATTCTCCTCATTAACTTCACATCATCTGCAAACAGGGACACTTCTGAGTCTAACCCTTCCATCATGTCATTCACATATACCAAAAATAGCATTGGTCCTAGGACCGACCCCTGTGGGAACCCGCTCGTCACAGGTGCCCACTGTGATACATCATTACGTACCATGACTCGTTGTTGCCTCCCTGTCAGGTATTCTCTGATCCATTGCAGTGCCCTTCCTGTTATATGCGCCTGATGCTCTAGCTTCTGCACTAATCTCTTGTGAGGAACTGTGTCAAAGGCCTTCTTGCAATCCAAGAAGATGCAATCAACCCACCCCTCTCTCTCGTGTCTTACTTCTGTTATTTTATCATAAAACTCCAGAAGTAAGTGTGTGTGTGTGTGTGTGTGTGTGTGTGTGTGTGTGTGTGAACTGATACTAAATATGATGAGATCATTGTTGTCAGGGCCACATTTAGGTAAGGTATTTTTTAACAGTAGCTTAGCTCAGAAGTTGTTGGCTGACTGGGAGCATCTGGAGTCTTCAGGGGTTACAGATTTTAAGTGCTTTTCTGAACATTAAGTTTTTACACAAGTTGGGTCAGATGCAGGGGTTATCATAGAGATTTTTGTGTCTGGAGCACTTGGAAAAACTGTATGCTGTAATTGCTCTTCTGTGATGACATGTTAGACTTTGTTGTGTACAGTACTCTCTCTCTCTCTGCTGTATATGGAATACACAATCATGTTTACTTGACAGGAAACATGCAGTGCTTTATGCCACCATGTGGTTAACTGCAAAGTTGCTGTATGGTGTACAGACACCTCAGAGCACAGTGTTTAAACTGAAAACAATCTGGAAGAGGCCTAGGCTTTGTGGAAGAAGAACCTGCCTGGAGGGGTCTACCTACCTGGAGGGTATTCTGGGGATCAGTGCCCCCACGGCCCGGTCCACGACCAAGCCTCCTGAACCTATAGCCACCTTGCCTTCAGTAGAACCTGTAGAACTAATTCTGAAGAAAACTTACTCATATTTCTTTAGTTTATGGTGTACGGATGTCTTAAGGTTAGAAAGATAAACATTTTGAAAATTTATTCATATTTATGGTATGTATATAGAAGAACTAAAGTTCATATTTCTTGTGCTGTTAATAATGTGCATAGAATTTCAAACAGTTCTAAAGCTATTGGATTTAAAAATAGTTAAAATCTACATTGTACATACAGTATATGGTGTTTGTAGTTTTGTGTTAGTAATTTAAGTACAAAAAGCAAGACCAATTTAAATGTCTTATTTATTTTATCACTGTTGATGATTGGAGGTTGAGACATTATCAAAGGAACAACATAGCCACAGTAGTAAGTTTGTACAAGAGAAATACGTATAGTAAGTCAGTAGGTATGCCATTTCTTTCAGATTAATTAGGGGTTTTGCTTGGATCAGTTTTGTGTGTAGCAAAAACAAGTTATTCAAATACTTCACACTGCATGGAAGATTTTTTTTTTTTTTTTAAACTACTGTACAGTACTTCAATAATACAGCCTTTCCTCACTTAACAACGGAGTTCTGTTAATAAGACCATGTCGGTAAACGAATTCGTTGCTAAGTAAGGAGCATACTATAATGGTAGTGGGTTTGTGTCAACCATCTTTAATATTGTTTTAATGTCACTTTTGCACCATTTATAACATTTCTGGTATACTTTTAAATGTTTATATAGTACTGTACTGTATATTGTAATAAACACAATAGGGGAAATCAGTTCTAATATACATTACAGTATTTAGGTATGCACACTGGTTAGTCCAAGTTGTCGGTAAACAAGTACATCACTAAATGAGGAGAGGCTGTAGTTTATTTATTCCTTTTTCAGTAGGTTTATATATTATTGTACAGTATTAACTCTTTTATTTGAATATAGTTTTATTATAAAAGCAACTTTTTTTTTTTTCTACACGTCGGCCATCTCCCACTGAGGCAGAGTGGAAAACCTCCCCCCCCCCCAAAAAAAAAAAAAAAAAAAACTTTCACCATCATTCATCACTTTCACCATTATTAACACACAATCACTGTCTTTGCAGAGGTGCCCAGATGTGACAGTTTTATTTCTGTTATTATTTTCTAAACTCCACTCGATTGTTTTCAGGTGAGAAACCTTTTGTGTGCTCTGAGTGTGGGAAGGGTCTCTCAAGTCAGTGTGCCCTCTCTGAGCACATGAATATTCACACAAACAATAGACCTCACAGGTAAGGAGCAATTTTTATATTTTACTCTTTTGTAAAGTAACATAATAAAATCATTGTTTTCATGTTCTTTTTTTAATTACTCTATAATATTCTATCTCATCTTTTCTGAATGCACCCTGCAGTTTAAGGATTAACCCTTAAACTGTCCAAATGTAGATCTACATTTTTTCAACATTTGAAAGTATGTAAAAAACGTAGATCTTTTTTTTTTTTTTTACATTTGAAAATGTGTAAAAAAAACTTTGATCTATTTTTTTTTTTTTTTGAAAATATTTAAAAAAATGTAGATCTACTTTTGGAGCACTATGCATGTGAACATAGATCTGTTTGGACAGTTTAAGGGTTAAGGGATTAAGGATTTTTTTTCCTTGCATAATTTACAATGTGTAATTACAGTATAGATTTGCCAAGTTCAAAGAAAGCCACTATCATGCCGGAGCATTTCGGGCAAACTAAACTTAATGCTTAACAGACTACTTAATACTAGACATACATATCATGGTTGGTTCGAATTGAACATTGTTTTTTTTATATATCAACAAAAGTAGTAGTGGTTTAGCAGTAATTAAATTAACAAGTAATTGAATACCAAGTTACAGTATTATATATTGGCACATTATACATAATGAGATTGAGACCATTTTAATTTTGAAATAATCTTATAAAATCTGAAAATTTTTGAGTTGATGGGGGCGATAATATACTGTATAGTGTTTGTGTTGTTAATTTTAAAAGATGAGGTGATTTCTAAGCAGAGCCTTGAATTGATGTGCAGGCAGGGGCCCTTTTGTATGTTCAGACAATGAATTCCAGATCTTAGGGCCCTTTGTAGGCATAGCATTTTTGCATAGGGAGAGATGGACATGCATGCCCTGCAAGCTGATAGACAGGATACTAGTAAAGAGAAAAATAAATATTGTAGTCGTGACAGCACATTTGGCTCGCAACTGAAACTTCCTGACTCAAACCCTGGGAGAGGTATGACATAAATACTTTGCCTGTTCACTTAACTTTAAATAGGTACAGTACCTAGGAGTTTGTCAGCTATTATGGGTTACATCCTGGAGGAAGACTCTAAACAAGGACCCCAGTGGAAATACACCACAGTGGTTGGCTCTCTGGGGTTATCTTAGGTTTTTAACCCTCCTGGGTTATTAATTCAGACAGTCTTTTTCAAAATATAAATTTCATCATAAACATTGGTTTAGGGAAGGGCAATGTTTCCTCATAAATCTAATGCTTTTATGATATGATGTGAGAATTTAGGAAGGAATGAGAAAGGTGGGTGAAAGGCAGATTCTTATTCTGTTAGGCCCTTGACACTGCCCTACAACCAGCTAATTTATAAGTTCTATAAAACAGGTACTTTAGTGGATAAATGATAACTTAACAAAAGGCAGAGTCACAATGAGGGGTTTTGGGATAGCAACCCATTCTTCTAAGAAACGTTAGTTTCTTACTATGATTTAAAGCCATTGTAAATGCTCATATTAAACTATTGTTGGTCCTGTCTTCTCTGTGACTTTGTATTTTCTATTTGTGTCAAAGCATGTTTTATAATGCATTTTTTGCATTTCTTCAAAAAAATTTTACCACTTTGACCATCACCTACCAAAGTAGGATTATTGTCTTATTTATGTTGCATATTTATCCCCCTGCCTCAATGGGAGACAGCCAACTTGTTGAAAAAAAAAAAAATGTTCTGCCAGATGTATTTTTTTATTACTTGAACATTATATTTTAAAATTCATTTTCCAGGTGCGAGGAATGTGGATTAGAGAGTCGTCAGCTGAGTGTTCATCTAAGACATCTCCTGACTCACCAATCCCATCCTGATCATTTGTACAGTTGCTCTATTTGTGCAAAGACATTCAAACAAAATGAATACTTACGAAAACACATGCGCAAACACACAGGTTAGAGAGTAAAATTTTGATGCTTTATATACAGTAAATTTTAGTTAAAATTAGTACTGTAATAGCTTTCTATGACTTAGTCATAAGAAGCTAGTACAGTCAATTTTTTTTTATCTTTGTGTATACAGTAATACTCATTCTAGACATTTCATATGCTATTTTTTCCTAATCTCTTTTACCTTATATTTTAGCATTTTCTTGAGTTTCACTATACAACATTATCCGTGTTCTTCCTATTATTTCATAATGCTAACAATTAGCAATGGCAAACCTTAATTTGAGATATTGAATTATACAGTATTTAGAAAGAAAACCAAACATGAAATAAATATAGTAGATCATTAATTATCCAGCCTGTTTGAGGAAGAAAAAGGGTGAACCAGATTTTAAGCATCTTCTATTAAGGTCCTGGATTGAGCAAGAATATTAATTAATGTTGAATTCTAAATAACTGTTTGTTGGGTGGTATTGTTGGATGCTCGGTAACCAGTCTCTGCATAATGCTGGATGTTGAATAACCAGTTGCTGGATGATCAACAATCTACTGTTTTGTGCACTAGTCACAAGGCATGGCATGCATTATGGGTCTTGGTAATCTGATTGATTGTGGGTAGCAGTCAGCATCTTGGGAATGCACTAATGATGAGCAGAACATAAGCATTGTTGACACTGATATCTCATAAGTGTTGAGGAATTCATAATGATAGCGTCGAGGAGGATTAAAGCTTTGATTACCCTTAGTCTGTTCACCTTAAGCCTATAATTTGGCACATGTTAATGAATGAGGCACATTTATGTATCTTTATTGGCAATTTTTTGTGCAACACTTATGGTATCTTACTCATCAATTTGTTGGTATTGTGTACCATTCTAAGATGATAATTTGGATTAGTCCAGGAAAAGGTGGGCATGGTCAAATAAACACTACAGTCTCTCTCAACACAAGAACTGATTACCAAATGTAATTTTTTATTTCAGTTTATGGTACCACTGCTTCTTGCATATCTGATGATATTAATTCTTGAGATATTCTTATCATACTGTTATCTCATAACTTTAAATCAGAACCTTCAATGTATGCCTTAAATGTGTTCAGAGACTACAGTAGTGTAGTTTGCATTATTATGTGCTTGTTATTTGTTATGTGCTTTTTTTTTTATATCATAAGACATGATTATTAAAAATTTATACTTATTTTTCATCCCATTCACTGACAAAATTGATCTGTTCATATCTGTTGGCTATATGTAATTACCTCCTGTAAAGGAATGCCTTAATGACAATGATGGGCTCTTAATCCAAGGAAATTAGCCTGTTCTTCCCTTCTTTGGATCAAACTCAATTGATTCTTATTCCCCAGGTGCTGTATGATCTGTTTGGGGTTTAGTGCTTCCCCATAATAATATAATAATATAATTACAGGAGAAAAGCCATTTGTTTGTGGAAAATGTGGAAAATCATTCACGTGCAAAAGTGAATTGAATCGTCATAATAAGAGACACTCCTCCGAACGACCACATATGTGCTCAGATTGTGGCCAGAGTTTTAAAATGAGGCATAATCTTCACAAGCATCTGAAAGCTCACTCTGGTACACAGCAGTGGAAATGTATACTATGTTCATTAGCTTTCTCAAAACCAAAATTGTTGGAGGTAAGTTGTTCATCATTCCACAGTACATACTTAGTCCTATAATATCTTTGAGTAGATTGAGGATAGACATAATATTTAAAATTACCATTTTCTTTTATAATGGAGCCTGTAACCTTATCATACTAGCAGAAACTATATTGACATTCTAAATTGATCAAACAAATGTAGGGAAGGAATGTTAATGATCATCTGGAGCTTGGATTAATTCATTAACTATGGTAATATATACTTTGTATCATTACACTTATTATTTTATTTGAAGCTACAAAATTACAACAAAAAGTGATGTTTAAAATACGTACTCTTGATCTGCTTTGAAAGGGAATTAAATTCTCTTTAAGTAGGGAAAACCTTTGTTTTACAATTTTTAGCCCACATTGAGGCTTTATCAAGGGGGTAAGCAAATGGCTAGAGATGAGACTGCTTTGCTGTGATTGTAATAATAACTGACAGTTCTGTAACAACTGGACTTTGTTGTTTCTGAATCAACTGACCTAGCAGAATTTGTCCCAAACTTCCGAAGTCTATTAAATCAAGTGGTTTACTGTACAGTAAACCCTCTATATAATAGACTAATTGGGGGATCAGGTAGATAGCAATGGTACTTGTGGTATATAAAGAAAAGATTATTCTGTTGTGATTACAAGAATAATGGACACTTCTGTTACCAACAGATTTCATTCATTGTTTCCCAGTTAATAGACTCAGCAAATTTTGTTCCATATTTATGAAGTTCATTATGTGAAGGTCCATTATATTGAGGGTTTACTGTATGTTGTTACCCATGGGATAGTGGAGCAGAATTCTTCCTCAGTAAGCCATGCGTGTCATGAGAGGTGACTAAAATGCCAGGACCAAGGGGCTAATAACCCCTTCTCCTGTATACATTACTAAAGTTATGAAGAGAAAATTTTGTTTTTCTTTTTGGGCCACCTTCCCTCAGTGGGATACAGCTTGTTTGTTGAAAGATGTATGTTGTTTTGTGGTTTTTACCTAAAATATACATAAAATGTTTTTAAAGAATAAATGCTTGAATCGGTAATAAACCATAGATTTTATACACTGTAAAAAAAAATAATTATGATTATAAAAGGTTTTTTTATTAGAATGAAAAAAAATATGGTGTCAGGAATGGTTTAGCTATATCTAAGATACCTGAATCATTATATCATAAAATATACATACATGGGGAATTGGAGAAGAATACTTTTAGTAAGCCATGTCTGCTGTAAGAGGCAACTAAAATGCCAGGAGCAAGGGACTAGTAGTCCCTTTTCCAATATAAATTAAATGTAAAAAGAAAAAAACTTTGAGAGCATTTCCTCTTTTTTGGGTCACCTTGCCCCAGTGGGAGACAGCCACTGTGTTAAAAAAAAAATATATTGGGCGAGGGGCTTGGACTTCCAGCAAGCATGCGTGAGCGTATTAGATAGGAGTGAATGGAGACGAATGGTATTTGGGACCTGACGAGCTGTTGGAGTGTGAGCAGGGTAATATTTAGTGAAGGGATTCAGGAAAACCAGTTATTTTTACGTATATAGCCGGTCTTGAGTACTGGAAATGGGAAGTACAGTGCCTGCACTTTAAAGGAGGGATTTGGGATATTGGCAGTTTGGAGGGATATGTTGTGTATCTTTATACGTATATGCTTCTAAACTGTTGTGTTCTGGGCACCTCTGCAAAAACAGTGATTATGTATGAGTGAGGTGAAAGTGCTGAATGATGTAAGTGTTTTCTTGTTGGGGATTTTCTTTCTTTTTGGGTCATCCTGCCTTGGTGAAAGATGGCCAACTTGTTAAAAAAAAAAAATCAAATATGGAAATCTTGTTTCCTCATCTACCTGTTTCTCAATCTCATTCTCAGAGAATTGAGAATTGAGTTAGAAAGATTGCTTTGTCAATGCTTTATGTAAATTATTATGGGATCACTTAATTTTTTAACATGCTGGCCATTTCACACCATCATTCATATTATCAGTCTTGCCAGAGGCACACAGATAGACAATTTAGATGTCACTCTAAACAGCAAACATCTCAAACCCCTCTTTAGAGTGCAGTCACTGTACTTCCCACCTTCATGCCATCATCATTTATTGTGTTCTTGCTCGCCAATGTTATTGCATTGTACTGTATTAGCATTCAGATATTCTCCTGCATTGATTTAGTTCATATTTCCTCAGGCACATCGAAAAACACACCTTGAAACTGTTCAGCATCTTCAAGTCAATAGGCCAGATGATAACACACTCATTGTCTCGGCTGAAGGGGAGGATCGAAGGAAGCTACCTACTGTCCATAATGTTCTGCTTCCAAAGGACAATTTAGGTGTCTGCAGTTCCGATATAAATATGCATAAAAAACTTTTAAGAATAAATGACACAACACTTCCACTTGAACTAATCCTTAAGTCTGTAGGAAGAGGAAGTGCTATTAAAATCAAAATTATTGATAAACCTGCACATCCAAGAACAGAAACTTTCTCTGCCTGTGAAAATATTGTTGAATTAGTTGATGAGGCTGCATCTAAACAAGAAGGTCTGAGTTTTGCTAAAAACAACACAAGTGATGTGGATAACTTGAGGCCTAAATCTCCTATTGAAGGTGAGTTTTTTTCTCCCTCAATGGTCATCTCCCACCAAGACAGGTTGTATTATCTGTTTATCAGGGGGTTCTCACTTTTCAACTTTTGACTTTTCTGTGACCCCATCCAAATGTTCCATATTAAAACACTTAAGGCATAATTATTTTCTAACCTGATTAGTGGTTTCTACTAAACATACTTTTTCCAAGCAAAAATGAATTACAATATGAATTATAATATGAATATTGGAGGTGTAGGGTTACTAAAAGTATTATCCAGAAGGCTGAGGAGGGGTTGTTAAGGTGGTTTGGACATTTAGCTAGGATGAAGAAAAATAGACTGACTTGGAAGGTTTATAAAATCTGTGGTGGAATGAAGCAGGGTAAGAGTAACCCTAGAAAAGGATGAAAGGAGGTGAGTAAAGGAGGTTTTGTGTGCAAGGGGCTTGGACATCCAGCAGGCATGTGTGAGCATGTTAGATATGAGTGAAGGCAAATGGTTTTTGGGACTTTATGAGCTGTTGAAGCGTGAGCAGTGTAACATTTTGTGAAGGGATTCAGGGGAAACTGGTTAGCAGGACTTGTCCCGGAGGTGAGAAGTACAGGCCTGCACTCTGAAGGAGGGATGGGGATATTTGCAGTTCGGAGGGGCATCTGAACTGTAGTATTGGTACATCTCTAGAAAGACAGTGAAGGAGTTAATGACGGCAAGTGTTTCTTCTCGGTTGGAGACAGTATGAGTAAAGTGCATGAAAAAATTAATGCTTATTTGTAATTCATATTTCAGAAAGTAATGTTCACAGTGTTAATGAAGAAGCAGTACGAGTGGCAGGTGTATTAAGTATTCCAGCCAGTATCTTAAGCCATTGTCTCTCAAAACATTACGTCCGCATAAATCCCACCTGTGCAGACTATCGAAGCTGGCTTTCAATGTTGGCCTCGCTTTCTCAGCAACTTAGTGCACCATTTGACATGGAAGTACGTATTATATTGTATATAAATTTAACGTCCTTCATATAAATTTTATATATAGAACCAGCATGTGCAGAAATTTAATTACAACACTTTTTCTTTGGGCATCTTGCTCTTAATGACCTGGATAACTTATTTATCATTCCACAATTTCCTGATCATCATACATGTACTCTGCAATCCCTCAATCATTTTCTTCCCTTTCAGTTTAAGAAGGGTGCTTTAATACTGTACAGTTCCTCTTTATCTAAGGAATTGGAGCTCCTCTTCACTTCCTTAGATCAGACCTGATTGTCCCCAATTTCGCAGGCATTGTATGACCCTTATAAGTTTAGTGGTTCTTATGATGTCGAAATGCTTTCCACTCTTCTTTATCCTTTTAATATGCCAATGTCTACCTTTACAGGATTTTAAAATCACAACCTGTTCTCTGTATGTTGTTCCATGTCACAATCTTATACCTCCCTGCTGTCTGTGGTACTTTTTTGTTTGTTTGTGCTGAGCTTTCTTGGGGTTAATTTTATTGCTCTACACTGTTTTTGTATGACTGCTCATTGGATATACCAGACTCATGCATGAGCTCCCTGCTTCACTGTGTAAAGTTTACCAGGTCATAGTAACCATCAAGCATGCTGTGATGGATTTCTCTATTTATCTCTGTATCATGTTTACCTTCAGTTTTTTTCACATCCTGTTGTGTTTATTCTGTCAACCTACCTCTCTGAAAGTAGCATCTTCAGTGCAGATGCTATCTACAGCTTTTATTCAGTCTACTTTATTACATTATCTTCAATTATTAAATTCTTATCAAGGATCAAAATATAAAAAATATTATAAAATTATGGAAAAACCTTCTGTGCATACTGCAACTACAGGGAGGAATGAAACTGTGGAGCATTAATATGATATTATACACACTGAATATTCGTTGCATATCATATTATTGATGGTATAAAATAAGCTGATCAATATAGATATTTGTTGTATTGATGAAATAAAATGCAATGGTGAGGCAAGGAGAGTATAAACACTAGCTGGTGACTGCCCCACACACACTCCACATCTTCTTTTAACGCACCGGCCGCATCCCACCAAGGCAGGGTGACCCAAAAAGAAAAACAAAAGTTTCTCTTTATAAATTTAGTAATATATATAGGAGAAGGGGTTACTAGCCTCTTAGGACACACATGGCTTACAGAGGAAGAATTCTGTTCCACTTTCCCATGGAAAACACTCTACATATATTATGTTAAACATATATTTCAGGTTTTTGAGCTCCATAGAGTATGACATCCAGTTAAACATTGTAATCCATCAGTGTCGGTACTACTTGTGGATACTAGTATCATTATGGCACATTTATTAATATCCTTAATAGATATACTATCTCCATGGGGAAGTGGAACAGAATTCTTCCTCCGTAAGCCATGCGTGTTGTAAGAGGCGACTAAAATGCCGGGAGCAAGGGGCTAGTAACCCCTTCTCCTGTATATATTACTAAATGTAAAAGGAGAAACTTTTGATTTTCCTTTTGGGCCACCCCGCCTCGGTGGGATACGGCCGGTGTGTTGAAAGAAAGAAAGAAAGATATACTATGTGTAAATATTGGTAAATTGAATTTCCACATTTTATAATGTTATAGATAGAATGAGTATACTTTTTTTACTGAGGTTATTGTTAATTAAGTGCTTTTCATTCTTTCTATCTTAGGTCTGTAATCACCTTAATCATACAAGTTCAGCCCTTCAATTCTGCCTCATGCAAGAACCAGGTTCAGACTTCCAACCAAGGCCAATTGAGTTTACAGCTTTCGAGTCAAAGACAGTTTCAAACGTATGGCCTTGTCAGAATCGCTTCCAATATCAGTTTATATATAAACAATATATGATACTGATGGAAACATTCCACAGTCATTTTAATTATCATAATCGCAGCATTCTGTAGGTTGGTAAGAATTTTTATGTTGCATTCTTTATATCACTTAAACACACATTGTGTAGTAGAAATGAGGATTGGGGTACAGGTAAGTACTGTGATTGAATTTGTTGCAGAGTATGTAGGTAAAATTTTGTGTTACAGAGTATGTAGTTTACAAGTATCCCAAGAATAATTATGCTTTAAAAGTCTCTTATTTCATATCATTACACTGTCTAAGCGATTTTTTTTTCTTACATGATGTTCAGTTAAGATTTTATAAAAATATTTTATCAGCCAAAATCTCCAATAAATTAAAGTATATAGTGGGTATTATTTGAATGACCTACCAGATGATACAAAGAATTGTAATATACATAAAAAAAATTAAAAACTTGAATTTTTTTTTTTTTTTTTTTTTCAACAAGTCGGTCGTCTCCCACCGAGGCAGGGTGACCCAAAAAAAAAAGAAAGAAAATCCCCAAAAAGAAAATACTTTCATCATCATTCAACACTTTCACCACACTCACACATTATCACTGCTTTTGCAGAGGTGCTCAGAATACAACAGTTTAGAAGCATATACGTATAGAGATACACAACATATCCCTCCAAACTGCCAATATCCCAAACCCCTCCTTTAAAGTGCAGGCATTGTACTTCCCATTTCCAGGACTCAAGTCCGACTATATGAAAATAACTGGAAATGCGTGTGCTTAATTAGTCCAGTCATATTTGCTCCAAGAATCTCCCTGAAACCAATTTTTTTATTGTAATTTCAAAACCTTCCATTCTAGCCTTTCTAACCTATCACTTAAAATTTTAATTTTATTGAATAATCTCTCAATTTGAAACTAACCCTTTTTTGTAATTTCTAAACTACTATTCAGCCTTTTTTGAACTTAAGTTAAAATTTTAATTTTAGTGAATAATCTTGTAATTTTTATTTTAGCTACAGTAGATTTTTAGAATGTAATTTGACTGCATTATATTGTCTCAGGATGACTGAGGAATTGTAGATGAAAAATATAACATGGTACATATATATAGACTGTTACTGAATGAAAGAGTCAAAATGTGAAGAAATAGTAGTGTGTATACCATGGATTTTTTCTCCTTAAATGTTGTAGTTTGTGGGTCCTAATATCAAGGTTGTGCTTTTTCCCCGTAGATTGAGGTTTAAGACATTAAAGTGTCGCCTCATATGCACAGTAACAGGAAAACTCACATCAGCAGTGGATGACAGCAATGAGACTGGAGTGTAAGTTGAGATTTGCCAGTTTTATTATAAAAATTGATTTCCATGCAATAACAAGAGAATGCTTCTTCTGAATGCCTTAAATCTTTAGATGCTGGTGTATCTTCCTTGGAGAAAAGGTTTGGATTGATACTGGGCTATGTTGGTGCCAATTAACCAATTTTATTGATGAAATTCGGGAACTGATATACAGTATTATTTTTGTGTTAAATGCCTCCTTTAATTGGTATTTAACCTCAACACCGACAAGTGAAAAGGTAACGTGGAAGTAGCTTCAGACCTGAGTTGCTGGTTTATTTTGTGATATTTGTCTCTGTGCAGAACCTAAAGATGCCTCTTCTGATTGCCTTTAATCTTTCAAGACTGGTGTATCTTAGTGGTGGAAGGTTCCAGTTTTTGGGAATGCTGTATAGATGCAAATTTTCAATTTTTGTTAAAGAAATTAAGGTATTACTTTCCATCCCCTCAAGGTAGGTGTCTTGATGCCAGTAAGGGGAGGATAGGTCCAGTTCCTTGAACCTGTCCTCCCCTTCCTTGGATAGAACTTGATTGTCTAACATTCCCTCAGGTGCTGCATGACCCTGGACACCATATCAAGATTTCAGATAGCTTATCATTAATAATAATATGCCATATCCAATAGGGTTAGCTTGGACATGGTGTTGAAAGGTTGGATGTTTAGATACTTAAGATACAGTGTTTGAAAATATGGCCTTGTCTGTCTATGTTCACACATTTTATATTTCATATCATTGAAATCAACATATAAACTGTACTGCAAGAGATACTTATTGTCTGTTTTTAGTCCAGCAACGACGACATATTGTAGTTTGCTAATCCTGTTAGTTTCTCCATAAACATACTTTACTTGACAATTCATTATGATTATTTTTATTACAATCAAAACTAAGTGCTAAACCCACAAGGGTCATATAGCACTGCAGGGTAGGATGTGCTGAAGATGAAATATGCAAAGATCAGAGACCAGTGAGAATTTGGAATATTCAGGAGGCACAATCAGTAAGGGAGTGGCAAGTGCTAAAGGGAAAATATAATCAAAGTTTGTGTAATAAAGCAGTTGCTGACAAAAAGTCAGAGTCTGCATCAGAGGTGGGACATTTCTTATGATAATGTATATTCTAGTTTCAATTTTTACTGTTCTGATTTTAATACTTAAGACACATGCAGCACCTAGGTATCTTCATTGAGAGATGATTTGCCTGCATAACTGGCTTCATCAGTCTAATAAGAGGCATGAAGAGGGAGACTTTTATATTGGATCCAAAGAAAGAAGTAGTGAGATGCAGCAGTTGAAGATGTGAGGAGGACCCAATAGTTGAAGAAGGTTAGACCCATAAAGTGAGCCAGAGATTTAGCAGTGGGCCAAGGGCAGCTTCAGAAGTTTTATATTGGAGAGATTTGGGTGGCACTCTGGTTGGACCCTGGAGCTAGGAGATTTGTCTTGAAGCACTATTATAATTATTTTTATTTGGGGGCGCTGATGAATTTTTTGGGGCTTCAGCCTCACCTCGCTTCCTTGGCACTGCCCTTGCAATGGAGTGTTAGAAAATGTTCTCTGTACCAAGATTCCATGTCATTGCTGTGTCAGA